TGCAAGACCATCTTAATGTGGAAAGTGTTATAGAGGACATTGACATGTTTTCTGCTTCAAAGCCAAATGATTTCTTTAATTAGGGCTTTAACAACCTGATTGCAAGATGGAAAAGCATCATTGATAAGAATGGAGACTATTTCATTTAATAAATGTTTTGTTTTGATATACAAGTTGTTCGGGTTTTTTCATCTAAAAAATTGTCAGACAGAGAAGGAAAATCCCAGGAGATATAAGACTTAATTGATTGTATTCTCAAGGGATGATACTTTCTAGTAAGTAAAAACCTTTGCTTAACGATGGACAGAAATCTTTATTTTTTACATTTTACTTTGTGAATTACACCAAATAAATGTTGCAAAATAGCAAAGCAAGCAATGTTAACGTTTTTAAGTTAAATATTGTTGAAATGGCATTAGAATTATTGTTTTTACTTAAATTTTGAAATTATTTATGCAAGTGTGTGTTTGACACCTGCAAGGTGTTCACTGATTGCAATTGAGTTAATTCTAATAAATTACAAAAGAAATCAAAACAGAAGAAACATTGCTGATACTATAATGCTAAATTATTTGCACAAAATGCATTAAATAATATTTTACAGGTAGGAATGAACTTACTTTCACATTTACATGCTTGTTATTATGAAGGAAAAATAAAACAGTTGTTGTCAGTCCAAAACAAAGATAGCTTCTTCCAAGTTTGTGTACTCCAAACATAAGCAGAACATAAACAGCAAAACAAACTGTGATCTTCCAACTCATAGAGAGTAGTAAAAATAATGTTGTGTATCCTGTGAAAAAGATGTTCAACCCCTGAGAAAAAAGTAAAGTTTTATTTTAGATCATTTCATTATTTAATCAATCAAGTAACCATAGTCTATGATATGTTGTCTAGTTTAATTTTCTTTTTAAAATGACAGAAACAAAACAAAATAAAAAAATACGAATTCTAAAACTACTCCATAATGTCACTTTCTGCCCAGTATTTATTTACCTCTATTAAATATATTTATGTCAAGAACTTTTTATAACATACTGCATTGTAAGTATTTCAACATTATATTCATGCATATTTCCACTTTTGATAGAACAAGGTTTACATCTGTTGATTTTTGTTATAGCCAAAGATTTTGAAATTTACCTCTGTTGTGGTGATTAGACATGGATATTAACCTTTAAATGATCAGATACTAATAATGATCCTTGCTGTCACTAGATATTCAAATTGACCTTTTTGCAGACACCTGACATACTCACTAGACAATAAATTTATCTGATCTGATGATAATTATATTTTATTTGGTGAACATAATAAAAATCTCATGCTTACAAACTAAATAAAACCATAGTACATCTATTAAAAAGTAAAAATACTAATTTAAAACAAAATATCAAAATCAACAAGATACTGTAAGCAAACTCCAGTCATGTAATTTCTTTGTTTCCTACAGTATATATATTCCTGTGTCTAGGAAGATTACTTGTACCAGATGATGACAAACATTGTATATTTAAAACTTGTATTAGTTTTCTTTATTACCCATTCAACCTATCTCTAAACTGTATATGCTTACCTTACCTCAAGTTATTTGATGTCGTCTGAATAAAGATAATTTTTTAGCTTTCAAACAGATATAATTTAACACAGAAACACTCTCACAATTCACAAATGAAAGGAACATTTACAGAATCAACAAAACCTATATTCGGTTAATTATTATGCGATAGTTTAATTCTTCTCTATCCAATAATATTTAGACTTTTTTTATAGCTGTTTTCAAAGCTGTGTTTCATTACAAAATAATCAAACCACTTAATGTATTGCCAAAACAAGATTTCAACCAAGGACTGTACAAAACCTAGGGGAAGCACTTGAAAATCAAGAAATGAATGACATATATTCAAGGGAGAATGGGTTCTTAGCAAAAACAAAGTTATTCTTTTGGGTGGGCAGACAAATTTTCTATTAGAAAAACATCAACAAGTAGGTTGTATTGCTTGCAGGCAAAACTCTTTGAAGATGTGCAGAAATGAAAATATGAACTTTTTTATTCTTTTATGTGAATTGTGCTTAATAAATGCCAGAAAATGACACAATATTCTTTCTAAAATATTTGTGAATTACAATATAGTTAGAATTAACATATAGAATTTATTAAAATTTATGCCTCAAAACATTTTATAAAGCTGTAAAAAAATATGAAAAGCAAGAGGAACCTATCTTTAGACTTTGGGCAGAATGATTTAGAATTAAGTTACTTTTTTAATCCTAAACTTTGTACATGAAAGTGAATCTTACGGGCAACGTAATTGCATTGTTTAACATTTAGAAATATTAAAAAAATTATTTAATTATCTGTCACATGTTTTATTTTTACAATGATATGATACCAGTTATCTTTCTAAAAGTTAGATGTGTAACACTAACCAAAAGTTCATTATTTTCTTACATAAAAAATTTCCATTATGATGAAATAATACAGCATTTTGGATTAATCAATGTTGACCATATAGTTCCAAATTAACCTAAATAAATCAAAATCAAGACACACAGTAGTGTGTCGTGCAGCCAAAACAACCTGCTGCAGGATACATTGTGTGTTATTAATAGGTATGATAGTTTAGAAATTTTCCACTTTCTGTATCTCAGACTGTTATAATCCAAACTATCACATATTTTCAGTGGATGTGCTCTAGTGGACTCTTACTCCACATATTAAATTTTAAAGTAATCCTTTAATAAATACCTGAGATATAACATCTCCAATTTTGATTGAGTTTCTTCCTTTTCTTGTCTTTCTTTGCACCAAATGTATGGAAACTTTATTTAATAGAAAAACATACTTAACTTTAATGGATTTTTTTTCAACTTTTGTACACTGATTGATCTTTCAACTGACAATTAGTAGTCTCACTTGGTGTAAATACAAGCCACATGTGCAAAGTTATTCAACAAAAACCACTAAAATATGACGGAAATTTTTCCGCACGTCTACGCAAAAAGTCGTGAGCTATTCTAACATTTTTACTACAGTTTCACCTAAGAGTAAAAGCGGACTGTTTTTAGTTTTTTTGTCATTCAGGTTAAAGACAGCTGATTTAGAGCAGCAAAACTATGAGGTGAAAGGGCATAAGTATTGGTTAAGCCAAGCAAACTAGGTAAACAGTTTCTAGCTCCAGTTTTCAAAAGAATCATACAGGTGAATGGTTATTCTTTAATATTCATTCCCAACTTTTCAGCGCAAATTTACTAAGTTTTGTGAAATTATTCCAAATAAAGAGTATTTAGCATCAAGTGATATTAGCATAAGCAATTAGCATAAATAATGATGCTTGATATGGCTGTACTGATTGCATGCGGGTGATGAGAAGAAAGACTATCACCATATATTTTAAAGAATCTGGTTGGATCTGTAAAGTAAGAGCCTGTTCTGAATAATAGGGTTGCGATACTAAAGCTAATGTGGATTACAATCGAGTGTCACTTTCTTAGCTGCTGTGATTTGTTGGCGTATATTTACAAAAAGTCATGATATCTAATCAAAAAACACCTTAGGAGTGAAAAAAAGGTGCAGCCAAAAAAGGATTGAGTGTGTGACATAAAGGAATGAAATCAAAATTGGCAGCCAAATTAATAACTGTCCCAAGTTGAACTGCCTATTTTGATTTCCTTCCTTTCAGTTGCACACTTAATCCTTTTTTGGCTGCACCTTTTTTTTCATACCTTAGGTATTTTAATTAAATTAAGATAACATCAGTATATTCATAAATTATTAGCTCAGTCAGGTTATAATCCAGTGATTTCAAATTTTATATCTATATATCTGGTAATGAAATTAATATGAAAATAAAAACAGTTGAAAAAACGTAACCAATTCTGAAATTAGAATTAAATAGCTATAACTATTTATAACGATATTATAAAAATTATAGCATTGGTAAACAGGATGGCTATTTTCTAATCTTTTTTTAAAAGTCATAAACCTTACAATCATACAACATACATTTTCACTTATTTTAGGCATCAGCAATATCAAAAACATCTTTCTTACAAGGATTATAAAATCTGAACCATGAAAAATCGATTCTGTAACAAGTCTGTTATAAGATACGCAGGTGTTTTAAGCAATACTAGCTTTGATAAAAACAAATCTCTAAATTATGAATAACTAAAATAACTGTGAACTCCAGAATTTTTCAAATTTATGCCTTTATCAGAAGCATTTATTTTTTATAGTGAACTGTATCATTCAAATTAAGACCATTGTATTATAAGAATAAAACCTTGCATAAAAATATGTCTTGCATTTGATCATTCATATTATTATAAAACCTGTGGTACATATGTAAACAATATAATATAAATATTATGGTTATATATATAGAGAGAGAAAGAATACCTTACATGATATAATTAAAGCTTATACAGGAAAGGTAAATAAAATTAAGAAAACTTTGTAAGTAATGTTTAAGTTCCATTACGCTTTCCCATTTAGGTTTTCCTTTTACTGTGTAAGATATTCTTTCCTTACGCAAAAATAATGTTTGTGGAAAAAAACATATAAACCAATAATGAGCATATACAATGGATGACCCACTTTGTTTAACTTTGCTAAATTTCTTATAGATTATAACTTAAGCATTACTTACAAAGTTTGCTTAATTTCATTTAATATTCCCATATTGGCTTTCACTGTACCATGCATGATACTTTCTTTATGTAACAATAACATGTATATTATGTTTACTTGTATGCCACAGTCTTTGTGCTAATAGAAATGACCATATGCAAGATATGCTCTTGTGCATGGTTTAATTTTAAGAATACAACAGTCTTGATTTTAGTAATAAAGTTCATTACAGAAAATGTATGCTCTTGATGAAGGCTTAAACACAAAACACTGAGCAAATAAAACATCTTTGAAAGATTCTCTGGAGTTCATGGTCATTTTATTTATTCATAATTATGTGTCCTATAATTCAGTGAGAATTATGACTTAAAAAACATAAAACAAATCTTTATAAATTTTATACACATTGTTGATGTCTGGAAGAAACCAAGGCCCAAAAAGTTACCATGCAATATTTTACTGATGTTCATATTGTTGTATTATCTTAAAAATAACCAGTTATTGGCTAAGGCTTGAACTGGGTTGTTGTACACTTCAGTTGTGTTTATTTCAGAAAACCTCAAAGCTTTTTATGGTAATTAATACTACATTCAAATAAAAATGCTGACATCTAATGTTTCTTTTGGACACCATATGAGTAAAACATCTGGCTGTTTTTTTTCTTTTTACTAATTTCTGAAAAATATGAAGAGAGGGTTCAGATCCCCAACTCCCTTGATCTGTACCTTCTTATACAACATTTAATAATACAGTTATTAATTTCTAAAAAAAATGGATAGGGGAGTTCAGACCTCCTGGACCCCTCTTCAGATCCATGACTGCTTATATGACAATAATGAATATGTTTATATAATTTTAAATTAAAAACATAACAGTGCAAAAAATAGTAAATGTACACTATTTTACACTTGAGTAGCCAGTTGCATTCCCTATAGTCAGCAGTTTAAAATTAGTGACTGGCAGATAGCCTTAGTAGCTTTGTAATAACAAAGACAGTGCGAGCATGATTAGTGGTAATGGAAATCACACTAAAGACCCTCGCATAGTGACCCCCCCACACACACACACACTCATTATGTAGTATTCTTTAATAGATAAGAGTATCCATATTAATAGGCAGTTGCTGCCCATTTCACAGTTGACTCATTATGTAGCGTAACATTGAACAAACATAATGGCAATATTTTGATTAGTTGAATAATTTTAATAATTGAAAACAGTAATAACTGGAACAAATAATTTTGATCAGTTGACTACTTTTGGGATAATTGATTTAATCATAATTTTAATTACTTTATTAATGAAATAATCAAAGATATCAATTTAGATTAATTATTGTCATGATATTAATTGATTTAATTGTAACTTAAATTAACTGACTAGTTTACACAACACTAAACAATGTAATCGCTACTCATGAGTAATTAATTAAATTGCCCAGTTCTAATTTTTACTTAGAAAATGGTACAAGTCTCTGTTGTGACTCGCAGTTGAAACTGACCTTCGAAGTGATATGATGATAATAATTTTCTTTGTTGTGATCAGGTACAAAACTGACATATTTATGATCAATTGTTGACAATGGCTTTTTTTATCATGAAATTGACCTTTGTTTTAACATGGTATTGATATTGACCTTTGATATTGAAACTGACCTTTGTTGTAACTAGGTGTTGGCACATCTGACTGAGGAAGATGTGTAAGACAATCCACAACCAGTGTTTCTGGATAGCATGTTGAATCATCAACCACTCATAATCTGAGTTATCCTAAAAATGAAAATCAAAGCTAAAAAGGATCAATGTTGTACAAGATTGAGTAACTAAAAAAAGTAATAAAAATGATAAAATGATCTTTATTACAGTAAATTCAAAATAATGCTTCTAGGTTATCATAATTTGGATCACATGTTTAGCATAGATGTGAACTTACTCAAAAGCACGACTGAAGAAAACTATCTTGACATAATGATGCATAAAACACGAGCTTTCAAAATATTGCTCTTTTTCTACTTGATAAGCTAAAATAATTTCAGAGTGTATTTAAAGAAACATTGATTACAAGTCCAATGAAGTAAGTCTCTTTTTATACAAATCACTAGTTATATCTCACTTGAAATACTGTATACACTTATTGAAAAGGGTTCACATGAGGAATGAAATATGATTCTAGAGGGTATAGTTTAAGACATTTTAACATATTTTCTGTTGAGAAAAGACAGGTAAGAGTTGATCTTATTGAATTTACAAAATTATGTGTGGGATGATAAGATAAAGACCTCTGATTACCTTGTGCTATATTCTGAAAATAATTGTACATAAAGACACAAGTTTAAGATTTAAATTGTTTATTTGTTGTTGTTAAGCACAAAGATACATAATAGGCTATTCACACTCTTCCCACCACGGGTATTGAAACCTGGTTTTTAGCATTCAGATTTACCACTGAGCCATTCGTGGGGATAAGGATTTGGAAATAAAACAAGCAAAGCTACAGTTAAGACTAAAGTTTTAGTTTTATAGCAGGGTGACTGACTTATGGGATGAGCTGCCACATGCAGTTGTGGAGACTGGCATTTGTCATTAGTTTAAAAGGGGAATCAATAATGTTCTGAAAATTAAAGGGTGGGTTTAAGTTTTTACTTTTTTCTGAAGGGATAATGTGAAAGGTCAGATTTGATGGACCAAAGTTAATATCTTCCTTACCTGAAAAGGTATTTCAGATAGATACTCATCTCTCCACAGAAGAAAGCCTTGGAGATGGCTGTAAGAACCAGTGAAGGAAAGAAAAGAAGATTGTGCATGGTTACCATAAAATTTTATGCATGAGTTAAACTCCTGAAAGAGATTTCACTACTGCAAGTAATAATGTGCAATGCACTAGTCTATGTTGCAAGCAATACAACCTTCTTGTAAAGTATTCCCCTTGAGCACTTTACACAAACCAAAAAACTCATTCTAGATGAGGCAAATAGACACACCAGAAGTGGGGAGGTACAATGGATGGTTCTGTAAAAAAAAAAGGTATCTATCTGAAATATATTTCAGGTAAGGAGAATAATAACTTCACAAAATATTACTCACATCTCCACAGAAAAATTAGCTACAATCCAATATTTAAAAGATGGTGGAAAAGATAATGTAAAGATAAGATAAAAAAGATGAGCTCTCCTCTCAGACTATAGCAACAGAAAAAGGAAACCTAATGAAGCATGTCTCCTACTATGAGAATGAGGAGGCTGTTGGCAAAAACATTCAGCAAAAGACCACATCCAGGGAGAACACTTTTCAACCAATACAAGTGGTTGTTCAGAAAGGTTGTGTCAAAAGAAGTTCCTGCTTTTTTGCTGAAATAGCATAGAAGTAGGTGGAATTCTAATGTTACTGAACTGTTTTATATATTCCAGGGGGTTGTTAAATGTGGCAAGGGCAATATATTAAGCCAAACGGTATGTGAAATATTTACAATAATATACAGGATGAGAAATGAATCATCCCAAGCCAGCTTTTCAAGGAGAAATCAAGACCCATCCATCTGGTCATAACCACCAGTCCTGTCCTTAGTGTTAAGAGTGGCCTGTACTACCTTTCCAGGTTGACATCCCTGTCCTACTTCCAATCAAGGTACAGTTTGGTAAAAGGAAAGCAAGGGTTCTTCTGCTCCACTAGAAGAGATTGGGAGAAATTTATGTAGAGAGAACACCAGAGGTGTGTGGACCAAACAGGAATTACCTCATTTTCATAAGATCCCTTTCTCTGGAAATTGGGATAGCAGGAGTTGTTTTGTTGAATGGCTACTTAGCCATTCTTTTTTCAGAGAGGCTTGGAAGGTAATTTAGAGAGATATTCACACATATATCTCTATATACTGCCTTGTGGAAAACCCCATCTCAACATTGGGCACTAAGTAGGGGGATATGGGCTTAACACTTTTTGTTATTCATTAGTTGATGTAGTTTTTTTGGGTACAGAAATATCCAATGAGGCATCACAGGCCACTCTGCAAGTGCCTTTATCTCTTTTTTTTTCCTCTTTTTTTTCCTAAGAGATAAAATTCAAAGTTGTACTGAAAACAAACTATCAAAAACACATCTCCATAGTACCTCTGAGAAAATATGGGAATGGCAACTGCAGGGAGATGAAACTCAGAGGCTGTGGCACAAAGGTGTCTGGGATCATCCACATCCTTGCTGTCTGAATTTTATTCAGGGAATAATAGCCAGATGCAAAATAAATTTTGAGATGACAAACATGATAGAAGGTGAAATTAAAAGATGAAAAGTATCATCCCTCATGAAGGAAGAGACAAGTCAGATAAACTATATAACCCAACTGGTCAAAGTGAAAGGAGATGAAATGCAAAAAGTAGAAGGATTTCATCTCACAGAAAGACACTTTATATTAACTTTAAAGGGAGCTGTGCAAGCCAGGTAACATTATACTGCACACACAAGACAAAGTAGATGATTGGGTTCTGAATTATCACATAGAGAAGAAATGGAGGAAAGGATAATTGAGAAAACAACAAATAAAGTAACAAGTAGACTTAGAAAAGAAGGAGCTGTACACAAATAAAATCAAACTGTCACTGCAAAACCTACAAAGGTGATTTCTAAAGCAAAAATATCTGAACAATTCTCCTACAAGGGAACAGGGTGATCAAAAGTTTGTACGAATGACTTGCTAGAGTCTCTGAGAACAAAACAAAAATTCCAGTATAGAATGGGAACTAGAAAAGGAGAATAATTGATTAGAAAAGCCTTGAAGAGGGCTGTAAGAACCAGAAAAGGAAAGAAAATAAGATTGCACATGCTTATCATATAAATGGATAAATCACTCTCAAAAATCCAGGTGAAAAAAGAAAGTGAGAAGAAGAAGAAGAGTTAAATGACCTAAGGAAGAGAGTGGCAGGCACTGATAAACTGCAACAGTGAATGGTCTAGAAGAGTGAGCAAGAAAACGGCTGTTGTGCCATGGTGCTAGCGAAATGTTCTGTGGAGAGGTGAGTAGCAATACTGTAAGAAGCTAATATTAAAGAAAGAATACAAGACACCTAAAACTGTCGTATTAAATACACAACCACTTATTTTGTAATCCGTCTTTTAAAAGGTGTGATGCCAATTTATGTAAAACTTTCCATCATCATACCAAGAGTCATACAGCAAGACAATATAGATAGTACTTCAACAAACATTTATGCAAATAAACAAAAGTGTAAGTTAAATGAATACCAAACTGTGCAATAAATAATAAAAGATTAATACTCTAAATAAACTAACCAAGACAAATTCAATAACAAAGAAAAAAGAAGTTAGTTAACATACTATGTTATGTCTATACACAAGTAATCCAACTTTAAGACCACACCTATCACTTACACATGCCCTCCAATGGCTCAGCAGTATGTCTGCAGACTTACAACATAAAACACTGGGTTTTGATACTTATGTTGGGGGCATAGTACAGATAGCCCATTGTATAGCTTTGTGCTTAACTACAAACAAACACTTATACAAATGATGAATTTACACAGCAGGAAGCTACAAGTAATAAATAAAGTTAAACCTCAAGAACTAGCCAAAATGTGTAAGACAAAACGGGATATGAGAAAGATCACAATAATAACAAAACTTAAAACAATGAAGTAACAACATTGGTAAATATATCATTAAGGTAATTAATACAAACTAATGTAACTAAACTAATGATTTCATGTTATACTATAAACAAAGAACTGTTACACAGCTTGTAATAACTATTGAGAGGTAAAAACAAAAGGTGTCATCTTTATGTGAATACTGAATTTAATGCAAAATTGAGTAAATCTTGTGCTCAAAATATGGAAAGGAAAATCCACATTTGTGAGAATGAGTTTATGAACTCTTTCTAAAAAATCTTGTAATATTAACTTACCAGAATTCTTCAAAGATCTTAAAACTGCTGGTAAAAATCCCTTCTTAATTTTAACAATAGGAAGACTGGTGTAACAATTACTTAAATCAAAAGTACATTTTTTTTTGGCCTTAAAATCTTATATTTGTTCCTTACATTCCTGAAATTACTGATAACAATGAATCAATTCTTTCTTTGATAATATTGCATCATTTTTCTAAATGCTCTTTAATGATTAGGTCAACCATAAATTAATGTTGTGTTTTGGAACACTTTCATTAACCACCCCAAAGAAATTTACGTCCCGTATAATAGTTAAAACAACCACCTAAATGTCACGTTAGTGTAGCCTATATAATGTGTAAAGTTTATACTCTAATCTCTTATAGTGATGGCACATGACAATACACACATTTGGCATGTAATGCTGTTTGAATACAAGAAGGGAAACAACGCCTCTGTAGCCGCAAAGAATATCAATGAAGTTCATGGAAATGTTTTGAATGTTCATAAGTGTCAATGATGGTTCAGTAAATTTCATTCTGGTGACTTTAGCCTTAAAAACTGTAATGGCAGGGGCCGACATGTTGGAATTGATACTGATGCTCTGAAAATGCTGGTTGAGTCTAACCCAAGGCAACACAC